ATTATTATGGATTTGATGATTCGTTTTGACCGTGCTGTTCCTGGTAAACGTTATATTCTACCCCGTTGAAGGGTCCGTCAAAATTAGCATTTTATGCAGTGGCCATTTTTATTGTCAAAAACTAAGAAATTCAACAAAGGGACTCAGATGAAAAGTTGCGTGTCACGGTTTATAATTTGACCAAAATGCGCTGGGAGTTCACGCGCCATTTTAATTTTTTTTTATTTCTTAATCTTGATGACATCAAGATTAATTAAAAACCAAATTGTGTTTCTGCTCTTGATTCAAAAGGTTCACGAAGTATATGAACTTTTCAAAGCACGAGAAAACCCTTAAAGGGTTAAGGGAAAGTGACATAGATTTTTATCAATATAAGTACTTGGAATTGGCTGAATTCATACCTTTCACGTCAAATTTGCACTTTTGATGCATACCCTTTATTATTTTGTACCATTATTATTCAATCTTATATATATGAAGCGATTTTCATTTTAGGATGGAAGGATGCGAATTTAGTGATTACTTAAATCATGACTCAGTCATTTATATTTTTTTTAAAAAAAAAATGAAAAAAAAATCAAAAGCTATCCTAATCGAGATTAAGAGATAAAGGAATTATTAACATTACCATATGGATCATTTGGTTATTGAGCTATTCGTGTATATTATAACTCGTAACTTCTTTTAAACAAACGGATGCTTCTAATGCTCTATGTTTACCCTTTTTTTTGTAATTCATGTTTGACAAAATTAGCCAAAAAAATATGTAGTGCTGAAAAAGGAATACGACTTAGATTTTTCCGGTTCACTCGTTTGATTACGTATATAATTAATTATAGATGTAAAACATCAACTTCTGTTAATTAACAAATGACAACTGCCAATAGTTTAATTACGTGGACTTTTCTAGAGAACTGCAAAAGATGATGCTCCTAGTGTTTATCTCTTTGTCTCACACTTTTATCGCAACATAAGAAAAATGTGTCACTTGGTTAACTAGTTGGAGCATTATTTTGTAGGGGTAAATTACATATAATCCCCCGTGGTGGTTTTATCTATTATTACATGATCTTTCTAACATTTCAAAATATCCACTTCACCCCCTATAATTTTATGAAAAGTGAAAATTTGATGAAAAATATCCTATGTACTCCACCGTTAGTTGAAATACTAATAGTATCCTTATTTAAATGCTAAATCAATTGACGGTTTAACCACCTTGTATAAAAACATAAGGAGATTACATGAATTTATTCATGCAAAAATCACAGAGAGATAAAATGGATATTTATACAAATCATAAAGAGGTCGCATGGATGTTAAAATTTTATCACACACACTTTTAGAGCACGTTTGGTATAAACATTGTAATCGATTGTCTATTCCGTCCATTTTTCACTTTATATAATAAACGATAGGAGGGTTATGTTAAAATTTTAAGAAGCCATCTGATATTATATAAAACTATAGGAGGTAATAAGTAATTTATCCATTTTTGGTGGAAATACTAGCTCAGTGCTGCAGCAGTCTGGGACAAAGAGTGGCAGTATACTTTGTTTTCGATTCGATAATCCCATAAACGATTAAACAATTGCTGTATGGGATCTTCCACCTATATCAATTCCCTGTAGTTAAAGTAAGTAAATCAGTTCCCAAGTGAAAATTAATAAAGGGGTCCATTTTGATTTTATATAAGTGAAAAGTTGCAAGTCTAAATTAGGACTGCCATGAACCATGAATATTTGTCTAAGTCTTGCATTAAACGTTAAAAAGATGAAATTTGAGTTTATAGCGTGCTTCTCAACAGATAAAATTTAAATTACCGCACAATTATCGTGCATTTTACTGTAATATGACTAGCCACCTAATTTACAGTTAGTGCGTTCTTATCCCTTTTGCCTAGATGCCAAAAAAAAAAAAATTTAGGTAAAACCACCGCTAACAGTTTAACTTTAAACATCATCATGTTTCACCTTTCACGCGGTTAATTACTTTATGGGGGTACTTATTGAACCCAGTTTACAAGGTAAAACGTTTGAATTATCAAACACTTAGACCAAAATTATAGATATGTATTAATAGGAGGAGAATAATTTCAAATAATTAACACGAAATACAGCTATATATGTATACGTAACTGATTTTACCTGTCGAAGAGGTCTTGCTATAGTGCTTAAAGTTGAAATATCAAAACTTAGAGGTCATGAATTTGAATACTTATTCTTCCTCCTCGCTTCTTAAATCTCATTCCTCTTCTATTACAAAAAAAAAAAAAATTAAAAAAAAGGACTTTTCCATACAATATTGTCCCCTTATGCTGTGGAACTAATTTAACCTGCAGTTTAGAGCATGTAATTTAGTTACAAATTACGAGTTATGGTAATACTTAACTACTTTTGTTTGTGTGGTGCTTAACCTTTCAATCCATCATTTTTCCACAAGAGTCAATGCTGCTTTTTAGAATATTTAATTTTGAGTAAATTTTATATACACTGACGGTGCACACACTATTATAATGAGATGTACGATATATATGTAAAATTTGAGTTTTAAATTCAAATTTGAATTATATGTCATGCATCTAATAATGAAAGTATATACACTGTAAGTGTATAAAAAATTAATCCTTTAATTTAATGACCTCCTACAAATTATGGTAATGCTTCACCGATTTTGCTTTTTGTGGTGCTTAACTTTTCATTGATCACTTCCACTTAAGCATAGCACAGGTATCAAACAGTTATTCCTCCAAGGGACACGTTGTCAAGCATTTAACTGGAGCTTTATATCCGTCTAACTTTTTTATTGTTTTCATGGGACATTCATTAAAATATAGTTTATGTTTCAAAATTTTTTAAAAATAAAGTCAATTAATATATATATATATATAAAGCAATAATTGTTAGTGTGTATATTTCCATGATAAGTTAGGTGTGATATAGGTATATCAACAAGTGCCTCTTGAACACTGGTTAAGAAAAAACCCTTATTGATATTACCAAAGTAGACAAAAGAAAACAACAAGAAAATCATTAAAATTTGAGAGACCACATTTTACATGAGCTCGAATTGTATTTGACCCTATAATAAACAACAACAACAAAACTAACCTAAATATCTAAAAAAAAAAAACTATTCATTTTCTTTTTTGTTTCCCAAATTCCTTAGCCATCTTGAACCTTCCTATACCTCTCTCTCTCTCTAGAAAAGGAAATTAAAGCCAAATCTAGATGTTCCCACATCTAGAATCAAAATTTTACTAGTCTTGATTAAGGGGCTTGAAACGTGTACAAGTATTAACTTCTTACACTAATAATATGTTAAGGCTTAAATTCTTGACCAATAAAGCGAAAGATATACCGGGACCATACTCGAAATAGGACAAAATTGGATTTCCCTTATAAACTTCACTAAAACTAGAACAATGGTCCACTTAACTTACAGAAGAAAAATGTTAGTGCATCCTTAAAACCAACTTGAAAATTCATAATGTAAACAACAGAACTACTATAGACTAGAAAACTGAAAAAGAGCCAAAGGAAAGATCCATACATAATAAAATAATGAAAGTAAAAGGGAAGAAGATAGATAATACTTAGTTGATGAGGACATGCATTGTGATTTCACACCTAGCCAAAAAACGCGTAGAACACAAGCTCCCCCGTAGCTGCCACGCCAGATAATAAGGGATGACCTCCCATCCTGATTCCACGGGGCAAGACAAATACAGCCTACCTTTTGCGTGTGCTATAATCATGTGTGTTTATCCAGAAGGACTCTAATCTTCTTACATAAAGAAAGCCAAGTGCTCCACTTTTGTACGTCACACAAAAACTTTTACACACAGACACACACTAATTAATTAATTATTTATTTATTTTATTAACAAGGGAATCGATAGTCGTTATTTGAGAGTGTGCACTGAATAAATTCAATCCCGTGCAATAGTCCGCTGACCATACAGAGGAATAAGACATACTAAGCAAATCCCGTGTGACAGACATATATTTCAAGAGAGATTCGAACTCGAATTGATAGGAAGGCATGACACCAACTCTACAATCTCGATCAATTCAAGAGACAACTGATTATTTATTTTACCAAAAGATAAAAATTAATGCCTAACTTAAATGCTAGTAGTGGTAGAAAAAATGTGGTTAAAGCTATTACAAGTGCCTTTTTTGGGTCAATCGTAAAAATTATAATAGTTAAGTCTTGACTTTAATCTTAAATTTAGGTTTAACTCAGGTTATTGAGGAGCAAGTAACTTTTTTTTAGTGTTATAGTATGTCTGGAATGCACATTATTTATACCTTATTTACACACACTGACTTGCTTGTATCATCAACACATTTTTCAATTACTTTTTTATCTCACATACATCACATCAAAAAAATGCTACAGTATTTTTTCATAAAATTATCTCAAATAATTTACTATCCAAATAATTATATTTAGCCATTTAGGTTTAACATTTATTTTCGGGGGGATAGTCTGCTTTCTTGAATATTATTTGTGTGGGTCTCGTGGGAAGGTTTATCCTGTTATTAGAGAAAATAAAAAAATAATGTAAAAGAAAAAATCAACTTATTTAATTTGTCCACTTTCATACGGACGAAAACAAAAAGCTCCATTTATTGATATAGTAGCAATTTAACATTAAATAATGGGATCTGACCCTTTGCCTCGGTATATAAAGCCCTCCCCTTAAACCTTTCTCTTCATCTCCTCATTTTAGACCTTTCTGCCTCAGCTTGCAAACCCAAAACCATAACAGAGAAAACAGAGCAAAAAGAGATTCGTAGCACGCCATTGCTTTGCTGTTTGCCAAAGTATTTCTGTTCTCTCCCCTGTTTTAGCTAAAAGCTTAGGATATCTTTGGTCTTTTGTATTGAAGAAGCCACTAAATTGCCAGTTTTTCCTCGATCAAGAGGCCAACTTTTTTGTGCTTTTGGTATGTATCTTCTCTTCTTTATCCCTCTGTTTTGTATGTGTATGCAAAAAATAGGAAAAGGGTTGCTTTTGAATATCTATTTGCATGAAGAGATTTGGATAAAGTTTGAGTCTTTCTGTTAAGACAATTCAGTATTGGTATTGACCTTCGAACCTCTGAGTTTTTCTGCAATGGCCTTAATCTGTTTTTTGAAAATTCTGATCTTTTCTTTGTTTGTTTTGAGTTATAGAAGGTGAAAGGAAGTGGAATAGAATATTTATCTGGGGTAGCTGGATAAGGCTTAAGGGGCTTCTGTGAGTTCAGGGGGCAAAGCAAATTTTGGTGGATTATGATTCATGGTTACATTGAATAAAGCTTGAAACTTGGTAGAAGAAGTTCAAATTTTTGGTATAATTTAAGCACTGTGTTTCGTACCAATATTTTTTCGCCATTTGGTATTTACATCTTGATTTCGTTTGTTTTCTTTATTGATGAGAATAGTCCTGGATGATGAAATTCTTGTATGTTGTGAGTCCTTTTTTTTGGACTTGGTATTGGGGGTGTTGGGGGAAAGGGGAGGAAGAAGAATTGGGTATGTTTCGCAATTTAAATTGTGCGAGAACACTCTTGTCTTGTGTATTTGAGATCAAAGCTATGGGGTTTTGATTCTTATCAGTTCACCTTATGATTTCCAGGTGAATCTTGTTAGAGTTTGATGTGCTTAATGAAGTATTCCTTCTTGTGAGTTCTGAATTGTACCATAATTTGCATCTGTGGGGTAGAGATGGCGAAATCTCTCAATTCTTGCCCATCTCTACTGAGATGGGTGAATCCTTCTAGTATTTAGTGCCACTTTCTAGATGCAGTGTTTTGCCAAATGGATGTTCCAGCTGCAAGTTGGAGGACCCCTTATCATGCTAGCGTCCAAGCTTTGACGATGAATTCTGAGCACCTTAATTTGTACCTTTCTTGGTGGTCCTTATATGCCTCAAAATGGACCTTAACAATTTTCTTTCTGGGGTTTTCAGTTTTCATTTTCGACATATGGTGCCTTTCAGTTCACCATCCCTTTTTCCCCCAATATGAAGTATTATCTTTTGTTCTTCTTCCTTTTTTTTTCCAACAAGGACCATAGAAATCGTTCTCTTTTTGATTTTTTTCAAGGGTTTGTTTTATTATTTGACCAGATCTTTTAGATCTTTGAAGAATATATCTTTCAGAGAGTCTTGATTTTCTCTTGGGTACAATGAATACCTGAATCTCACCATTGAATCTTGTGTTAATCAATCACATCCTATATCTGAGTATTGAGTTTCTCTTGTACCACAAGTGGATGTGTTTTTTTTGCTTACACTCCTTTAGTTTGGATAGTCTTCTGGACTAAATGGTGCAAAGAAGATGATATGAAGCAGTTGATTGAGTTGTGGCTCTTGCAACATCTTCTAGAAATATGTTTATCAATCTCCACAATCAATGTTCAGGACTTCATTCTGTGGGTGATATTAACTGTTTTATTCTTGAGGTGATAATTGTTCCTTGTCCACTGTTTGTTCACCTATTTATTATGAAATAAGTTGGGTAGTTGAGTAGAAGGTTAGTGGTAAAGTTTCTTAGAACGTGATAGGATGTTTATGTCGCAAAATTAATTTCCAACCAAAGTCTCACCTACCTGTAGTGCAAAAACCCATGATCTCCTTTTTGCCCATCTAAATATGTTTTCAAAGATAGAGATAGAATAGTAGTTAATCTGATTTTTGAAACTTCCTGATATGTTATTTTGTATGATAGAGCTAAGAAAGGATGAAAAATAGGTGATCTTGATAACCGGATAGGCTCTGCTGTGAAAAAACCTTGTAGAAGATTGTGGTTAGCTATTAGAGCAATAATATAGTTCAATCGGAAGTTTCTTTGAATTTTGGGTGGTTTGCATATTTAACAATTAGAGTAGCTGATGTATACCATTATATCAATGGGAAATTGTTTCTTATTTACTTTCTGAACTGGTAGGTCATGGTTTTCAAGTGGTCCCTTGCCCAGCCAGGACTGGCTACTTGTACGCAACCTGTGCAATAGTGTATTATTACTATAAGCTATGTATTGTAATAGCTAAATGGCAGCATTGTTCAACGTTCTGTTCGATTGGATTACTTAAATAATTCAGTCAAATTGAAACGCCATATGATGGATAGTAACCTCTTTCAGTCTCTGCTTCTGATACCTTTTGGATGAGGACATAAACTAAGATCATGATGAGTGGGATTGTGAAGCTTTAACCACGGAATTAGTGTTCAAACCCGTTCATGCTTTTGATGTTGAATAACACTTTTACCTTGGCAGATATTTATGCATATAGTTTGTCAGAAATAATAGAAATTTGCAACTACTTGTTGTTGTGAGCGGTTGAATCTAACCATCTTTATTTCTGCCCTTTTGTTTTCAGGTAGTAGTATCAAAATTTTACTTGACAAGAAAAGCAAATAGTAATGGAGGAGTATTTCCAAGAGCCAGCAGTTGAAAACAACTTCGATCGAGATGACATTTCATTGACAAAGTGCAAATCCCATTCACCGGATGAGCTGGAAGATAATCCTTCGGGGGGTTTGGACTGTAACATTTGCCTGGGTTGCGCACGAGATCCTGTCGTCACGTTCTGTGGCCACCTCTATTGTTGGCCCTGCATCTACAAATGGATCCATTTTCGGAGCATGCCTTCTGAAAATTGCAACCTCCAACAGCCACAATGTCCTGTCTGCAAGGCTGAACTATCTGAAGAAAGTGTAATTCCTCTCTATGGTAGGGGACTCGCTACAAAGCCTTCCGAAGCAAAAGCAGGACAACTAGGCATAGTCATCCCGCAAAGGCCACCAAGCCCAAAATGTGGAAGTATGCTGTCATTACCCACAACGCCGAATATCTCACGTGCAGTTCCACAGCTTCACCGACTAAGTTACACACAACCACCACAATCTTACCCTCAGTTTTCCAGTGGCACAATGAGTCCGAACACGTATCATCCATTGGTGACGATGCTTGGTGAAATGGTTCTTACTAGGATGTTTCGGAACCCACAGGCCTATTCATACCCAAATTCATTTCATCTGTCAGGTGGTAGCACTCCGAGGATGAGAAGGCAAGTGATGCAGGCTGACAAATCTCTCAGCAGAATATGTTTTTTCCTCTGCTGTTCTATGGTTTTATGTCTGCTGCTGTTTTGATACAGTTTTCTCCCAATCCTCCCAAACGTATACATGTAAAAAAAGAAAATCCACCCCTGTTATACAAACTCAGCCTATTAATTTAGCAATAGCAAATCACAGAGTGTGTGCCATCTCCAAATCTGAAGCTGCTGATATATACTATTTGATCTCAGTTTCTAAGTATGAACAATTCTAAATATTTGGTTGTATGCTGGAGGGACTAATAAACAAACTTCACTTCCTACTATCTCAGTCTTAAATAATTACTACTAACATATGTAGGTTAAAGAAGTACAATAATTTCTCCATTAAGCCCTCTATTCCATGTGACCAGACTTCACCTCCATTCCATTATCAAGCTACAATCATACTCTGCTCTAAGGTTTGGAGCACATTTTTGGTGGTGGTTGATGCCACACCACACAGATAATAAACTGACTTATTGAGTGGCTGGTGGGCCACAAAGTTGATTCCCTTGAAACAATTGAGGTTGGAGGAGTAATTGAGGAGTAAATTGCATCAAAGCACTATAGATAAGATGGATATGTTCATGATTACAAGTAGCATAATGGTCCACTATATATGTTGATAGAGGTAAGGTTTAGTCAAATTTGGGAAGCAAGATGGTTGAATGAATAGGCAACTCGTAGACCTTCAGTCCCATGATCAAGAACCCACATGCATTTAACTTTGGTTGCAAGTCAAATTGTGTTCTCCTTTTTACTTCTTGTCATTTTCACTAGTGTCAAAATTGTTGATGAGGGAAACAGAAATATATGGTGGATGGTGGGGGCTATGGCGGTGGTGTGCAATATCGTACAATATGGTGGCAGGAGCAAGTGCCGTGGCGGCAACTTTGGAAGTTGATGGAGGAGAAGCTTCCAAACTTCGGTGACTAACTAAATTTTGATTGGTTTAGTAATCTATTTTGGACATTAACTTTTTAAGATTCTCATCAAATTCTTTGAGAAAAGGCCAACAAAGGTCATTTCTTTCCTTATCACTAGAAAATTCTGGCCCCTCTGATGGTCCATGGTGATTTGAACTATTAGGCGTGTGGGTTGGGTATTCTTAAATCCTTAATTTCTTCTTATCGGTCCCCATTAGATCAAGACAAGCTCATAATGAAGCTTCCGATTTGCCATCATCTGCATCTTCTCTCTTTTTTCTTTTTGGCTCCTAGTAGTTTTCTCATAATGAACCTTCTTCTTCTCCTCCTCTTTATTATTGGTGCTTTGTCTTCACTACCCTTCTCTCCAGATTTGTTCTTCATAATATACTGTCAATGTGCATGTTGGATAGCGTCTAGCTCACAACTTTGTACACTTGATTCTTAAGAAATATCTCCCATTCTTATCTACTTTCTGCTTTTCAGCTTTCATCATGCAATGGCAGGTAGTTTTCCTTCTCCCATTCTGGTATTTTATATAGAACAAAGAAGTCTACTTACAAGCACAAGACATGCAAAATTGTGTCAGTAGATAATTAACTCAAATTTCCTCTTAATAAGAAAACAATGGCAACTGCTTTGGAGGTGGCCATAGCCCATTAAACACTCAAAAGATCTAATGCATTCTTTTTTCTTTAATCTTTAAGTGAATTATAAGTTAACAAGGTTAACTGGGACACAAGAACAAATACGAGGGTGCATTAGCAACGGAAACACTTTACCAACTTTTTTTTTGGTTGTAACCAACTATTTCTAGAATCATTGACCACCACATGTTTTTTGTAGGGTTGGAGGTCAAAGGTTCAAATCTTGACTCTCATTCAAATCTTGACTCTTATAAAAAAATTGCCACTTAATGTGGCTTCTCTTAGATTTACAGAGGTGTCTCTTGCATCCGTATATTCAATTCCCGTCGGTTTCTCTGTGACTATATTTTTCAGCTAATAGGCTTCTTCCTTTTTTTTTTTTTTTTAATCTTTCTGTACCATGTTTTCACACATTTGCCTGGCTTATTTAGTGATCTTCCAGTACAAGTTGTCAGCTACGATCTTCCAGTACAAGTGATCTTCCGTCGGTTTTAAAGGCCTGGTGGTCACCGTCAGTCTTGGTAGTGTTGTCACTATATGTGGCGATCTCTACTCATATCAGTCCCCCTCTCCCTCCCTCTCCCGCTCTCCCTAGATTATCACATCAGTCCTCCCTTGCCCTTCTCGCTAGATTCGGTTAGATTAGGCTATAGAAATTCTATCGTTGCAAAAAAAAAAAGCCATCCTAATATATATTTGGTTCATTTCTGATCTGCATTTTTCTAGCTCTTCTAGTTGTTTACCGTAGGGCTTTACTCCAAGATCCTTCTACTTCATATCATGGCAATTTGTGCCATGGGAAAAAAAGCAAATCAGAAGGATAAGACATTAAAATCACTTGATAGGATTGGTCACAATGTCCCATTATAACATGAAAGCAATCCAAATGATCACGTTACCTTAATAATTTGGTGTTAGTACCTAACTAGTCTTGATAATTTATAAAAGACATTATTACAGGCAAAGGGCGTGAAACAGCACGTAAATGATGATATACCAAATTTATTGGATAGGGCCAGCATAATGCAACAAGTAACGGTGGAACATTCGACAACAAAGAATAAAAAGAGATTTTAAGAGCTATTTTGTTTCCAAATCGTTGTCTCTCCCGTGAATTATTCAGTCATAGATTCGATTTACATGGTTTCGCCCTCTTGAAAAACTAATAATATTGATGAATCCAACCCAACTTAGCAAATAATTGGCATAATTGAAATTAATTTCGAGCATAGACAAATAAGTCGATAGTTAAATTAGTCGTTGATCACAAGCGGGTCTAAATTATTCCACCATCCTGAGATAATACAGGTCCTCTTAATAGAAAATATGACCACCTTTTTTTTATTGAACCATGATCCATTTTTTTGGGATAATTTCAAGAACTTCCCTTGAGATTTTTGAGTATTTCACTTAGTTCCTTTGAAGTTTTAAAAATTACACTTACCACCCTTGATTTGACACTTTGGTAACCAAACCTTAAAACAGGGTCAAAATTTTAATGAATACCCTAAAATGTCCTTATCTTATAAAGTTTAATTTATTCTTCTAAACAATTGTAAAGTAATTTAGCACAATTATAAAAGACAAAGAGTCTCAAGTTTTTCATGCCCATATTTGTTAATTGATAATCAACTATGGCAATATATCTTTTGATATAATAGGCTATTGTTTATAGTGCTCTATTAAGCATATATATTCTTTTTAAGATAGAGAAAAAAGTGCTATCTTTTTTTTTTTTAAGTTTATGGACTATTTTTTTTTAATAAAAGTTTATGGACTAGTTTAGTGATTGAACTACCATAGTTTGGTAGTGATTTTGAGCCATTTGTTTTTAATTATTCTTGATTTTGATACCAAAAAAAGAGCTACTAAAAATTGGATGATATTAAAAGTTATCAAAAAATTACTTGTTTAACATTTGATCTAGACAGATATTAGGGATAACATTGATAGTTTATCTATAATTCTAATGAAATATTAGAGAAATGAATAAGAAGGAAAAAAAATTATAAAATCCATCCTTTGTATAGACATGGCAACAAGGGAGTTTTATTAAATTATCAATATTAGTATTGTCATTTTAAATGGACAAGGGAGGTAAGTGCAATTTTTGAAACCTTAAGGGAGCCAAGTAAAAATATTAGAAACCTTAAGGGACCAGATTGTTTCTCAAATGCCTCTTTAACAGGGCCCTTAGCGTGAACTTCATGGTATGATTTTGATGCAAAATATTTTTGGGGACAATTCGGCCATAATTAGAGATAAGTCAACAGCAAATGGGACACTCATGCAAAAAAAAAAAGATTAATTCAGATTAATCTTAGGCGCTGGTCTACATCACATTCTAACTTTCCCAATCTCTAGTTCGCCAAAAAGAAAAAGAAAAAGAAAAAGAAAAAGAAATGATTAATTCAGATTAATTATTGTCCATAAACGTTATTCATTGGGGCTTAAGAAAACTAAACTAAAAGCATCTGGAAAAGCCATCTTGCAGACCATTCTTCTTGACTTTGTCCACCAATCCTGGGGTTGCTTCCTTAATGTACCAATGCCTTACTTGGGAGTAAGAACTAAGAATCAATCAGGTTTTACACCTTTAATGGGACTAATGTCCATGAAATTTATTTCCTACAATCCAATACGACAAGAAAAGTACAAATAATTTTCACAATTTGACATTGTACTCCATTTGCACTTACCATAGCAAAAAAAAATAAAAAAAACACAGGTCTCTCTCAAATATTTCATGGAAATAGTTGCACATCGAATTAAGGCACTAAAACATCCCACAACCACTAAATAATCATTATCATGCATAAGACTTTCAACTAAATAAGCCAATTGGCCGTGCCTTCAAACCTCAATGCCTATATAAACAAGGCTTTTAAATTAGGATCAATCTTTCCTACACTGACAGTGTATACACTATCAGTGTTGGATGAACGACAATTATGAAAATTTTGAATTTAAAATTCAACTTTTGCACAAATGTCATAAATCAAATAGTGATAGTATATACACTGTCAGTATATATAAGATTTACTCTTTAAATTATCAGTTTGAGTAAAAAATATATAGATTATTCACCTTTCAAGAAGCTAGTTTTTGCCTTATAGAGAATTATTCTCTTCTTCAAATTGACAATAAAGTATGATTTGTAGCCAGCTGAGGTTGACCAATTGATATACACTACAGCTCAACCAGCTCTTAGGTTCCGGTTCTGGGCATATATGTACGTGCTTTTCATCTCTAATCACCAGCATATTATGTGCAAAATCTCATTGATTAGTGTCTAACACTACTCTTTGAGGCCTGCTGGTGCTGTATATACGATCGATTAGAACTAAATTACCACAAAATGGGGTGCTTTATCAAGCTCAAGAAATCGTCACAGCATCACCAATCCTGTTTCTTTTCCTTAATAGAGTAATGCTGCAGGCTGAGGGACGTTTGCCTGGTCAGTGAGGAGGAGGAGAAGAAGGCCATGGTGGCAAGGGATTTGAGGGAGAAGTTGAAACTGGGAGGCAAAGCAGGTCAAGAATACAGAAGTCTGCTGTATATGCTTCAACGTTACCAAAGCGTGGTCCAACACCTCCATCAGGGTCTAGTCCTATTACAAATAAGGAGTTGTAAAGCCCTGGATGTGTCCTTCCCCCCAAGAAAGTGAAGCAAAGAGTACTTATACTATAGTAAATAAGCAGCTTGGCAT